TAATTATATTAATTTAACATTTATTATAAAATTATTAATAAAATAATTATATCTGTTAAAATACAATTTAATTAATAATTATCAATTTGTGTTAAAGTATAAATTATGATTTAAATATAATATTATTAGCTAATTATTTTTCTATATAAAAAATATTTAAATTTAATTTATCTATAAGAAAATGTTTATTATTATAGAGTTTTATAACTTAAGTGTTAAAAAAAGAAGAAATATTTATATTAAAATAAAATTATTCTAATTTTAGTAAAAATACTTTATTTTTAATTTATTTAATATGAAGATTTATAAGTAATAAGTAAAGTTCTATTAGTAGTAAATAGAATATAAATACTTTTAAATTTAGAAATTAAATATTTTTTTATAGAATTTTATTCATTAAATTTGACTATTATGATTAATAAAAAATTATTTGAATAAGATATTTTGATTATTAAAAATAATTTAAATATTATCATCTTAAGAAACTATTTATTTAATTAAATTTTTATAATTTTTATTATTTTTTATATAAATAATTTCTTATTATTAGCATAAAAAAAGACTAAAAATTGTTAAATATATAAAAATTAAGTATTAGTTTTTTATTTTATTTATTTATAAATTTCTTAGATTTAACTGCAGATTACAATTAAAATAATATTCTTTATTTTCTTGTGTTTTTGAATTTATTATAGTTAATAAATTATATAAATATTATAAATTTTACTTTATTAAAAAAAGTAATATAAATAATTGAATTATATTAAAATACAAGTTTTTTATTATAAGATCAAAAAAACCAAGTTATGATTTTAACTAGAAAGTTTTAAACTTAGCTATTTGTTTTTTAAATCTTCTAAAATTAAATTTAGTAAATTTATTTAATAATATATTATAAATAATTATTTTATTTATTATAAAATTAAATTAAAATATTAAATTAAATAATAATTCTATTTATAAAAATAAATAAAATAGAAAATATTATATTATATAAAATAAAAAAAAATTTTAATTAAAATTTTATAAAATGATTACATATTTTAGTTTCACTCAATATCATTATCTATTACAAAAGAGTTTAATATATAAATACTTTAAATATTTAATTACCAAAGTTATTTTTAAAAATTCAAATTTTGTATTTATAAATAAACAAGTTATATCTAGATATTTAGCTTTATTTTTAAATGTTTAAAGATTTAAATTTAAGAAACATAATATAATACTTTTTTAAATAAATAAATAATTTCTTTTTTATAATATTTATAATTATCAATTAGCAGTTTTTTCACTTTTTATCACTTAGTAATTTATAAAATGGATCTAATTCTTTAATAAGTTCTCAAAACTCTTCATCATTTTAAATGTTTAATAATTGGTTATTTTTTACAATTAATTTAACAAACTTTTTATTTAGTTGATTTTTTTTAATAAAATTATAATTTTAAGTTTTTTTATTCCTTCAACCATTTTGCCTACAAATTTATAAGTAATTTTATTTATTAATTACAATGATTTTTAAATATTTTTAAAAAATTAATATTTTTATAATAAATTTTATGATATTTTCTAAGTAAAAAATTAAAAAAAAAATGTAATTAATAGTAATTTTTTAAAGATAAATAAATAATAAATTATTATAAAAAAAATTAAAATTTTAAACTTACATATCTTGCTATTTATCAATCTTAGAAATAATAAGATATTATCATTTAATAAATCTTAATATGATGAATTCAATAAACTAAATTGTATAATTTTTATAATTATTAAATAATAAATTATTTTTAAAAAATTAAAAATATTGAAAAATTAATATATATTGATAATTATAAATTTTAAAAGTTTAAAAATATTATTATTAGATATATTATAATATGATAAATCTAAAAATTTTATTTTATTTTTTTTATAATCATTAAATACCAAAATTTTTTAAATTTTTTAAAATGTTTTAGAAATAATTTTATACTTATAGTTTAAAGGATAATATTTTATAACAAATCAGTATTATATATAATACTATACTTTGCTAGATATTAAATAAAATTATTAGTATTACTAACAGTTTTTATTATATATCTATAAATTTAATTAGTACAAACTAAGATAAGACATCTAACGTATTTTTTCTACTTTTTAAAAAATGTCTACTTTTTCAAATAATTTTAAAATAAAACTGATCTTATTACTATTTTTAACTTAAACTTATTGCTTATTTATATTTAATTCTCTCAAAATTTTATATTCAGTTTTATCAACATTTTATTTAATATTAAAATAAATAAATAAATAAAAAAAAAATAAAAAATAAATTATATAATCAATACTCAATATAACAAAATAAGCATCTGAGCTAATTAGACCTTTATTATAAGAAAATTTGTTAACATAATATTATATAATTTTGTGTAATATAAAATAAAAATACAATTTCATAATTATATCAGCATTCAGTAATTGGAATTTTATGAATTTAGTATCATTAGAATCATTAATTCAAATGATATATGTTTTATATTTGTAGTTTTAATACTAACAGAGTTATTTTATACAGAATATTTAAAGATATTTTGATTGATTACAGCATATAATGGTTAGATTATTATGATTTTAATGTCATTAGATTCACCTCATTAAGAGAATTCAAATGGTAGGTACTTCATATCTATAGCATTAATATTGACAAATATATTTTATACTGAATATTTAAAGATATTTTGATTGATTTAAGCATTCAGTAATTAGATCTTTATGATTTAATATCATTAGATTTATCTCATTAAGAGGATTTGAATGGTATGTATTTTCTATTTATAGTATTAATATTGACTGAGTTATTGCAGTTTGAAAATAAATCATTTTTATAATATAATTAACTGATTAACCAATAAAAATTGAGTTATAATAAAAAAAATTCATTATATTAATAGTCATTTTTATATATATTATTTAAGAACTTAACTTTGCACAAGGTTATAGCAAATATAATTAGTAAAATTTGCTATATCAAAAATTTTTTCATATGTTAAAATCTGTTTTACACTAAAAATTCGCTATATTAAATAATTCGTCATATAAAATTCATTATATCAAGTATTAACTATATATTAATATAATTTAATATAATACAAAATTTTTAAAAACAGAATTTTAGAAATAAAATTAAAAATAAATAATATAAAATTAATAAAAATATAAATATTAAATAAAAAACTTTAAAAATTTAAATTATTTTATAAATATAAATTTTGTGATTAGAATTTTGTAAATTTTCTAAATCTTATAAAACATATTTTATTTATATTGCTATTTTTTTTTGTTAATTTTATTGTTTTAAAACCTTTTTTATTATATTTAATTTTAGTTTTATTTATTTGCTAATTCTTTTTATATTAATTTGAGCTGAAATTAGTTTATGTTTTTTCATTATTTTTTACACAAACTTTTGTAATTGATAATAACTTAGATTTAAAGTTTTATATAAGTAAATGTTACAATTATTACATTTTTAAAGTATTCATCTATATATATACTAAATAAAAATCATTGATCTAAGTTATATTCCGATATCAATAAATATCTGTTAAAATATTTGGATAATATTTGAATATTGTTAGATTATTCAGATATTAGGATTTTATAATTTGTTTAATCCAAATAACAGATATCCTTTAGATATTTATTTAACAGATCTTTATTCTAATACTAAGAAATTTTTAACTAAAAAAGAGTTTAATACCATTTTAATATAATAATATTAAAAAATAAAATGCAAGTTCTATTTGTTAAAAATTTTTGAAACCTAATTTTTTAGCAACCATCATATAAATAATTTTGATTTTTATTAACTGAATTTTATTATTACTTTAATATATTTATAAATAAAATCAGATAAATTTAATTTTGTATATATTTACATATTTTACAATATAAGAATATTTTACAATAAAAAGAATAACAAATAAGTGGTTTATTGATAATAAGTAATACTTATTTTACTTTTCTTAGACCACTGATTATTTTTATCACTATTTCTTTATTTTATCTTTTTTATACTTTTTTTTTATTATTATATTTTTTATATATTTTTTTATTTTATCCTATTTATTAAATTTTCATTTAAAATGCATTATTTTATCATAAAATAAACACACATTTCTTAAAAGACTTTGTAATAGAAAGGGCAAAAACTTTCGGGAAAAATCAAATGGTTTTTTAGCATTTTTTATTTTTCACTTTTATATTGCGAAGGAAAAAAAGAAGTGTTAGAAAGTTTGAAAGCAATGTTACATAATTATCTCATCTGTCGCGAAAATCGGGTCAAACGCAGCTCGTACTAACCATATTCAAAAGTTCAATGAAAATATGAAAATAAAAAATATATAAATATATTGGCATTAAGAAATGGATAATATTTAAACATCCAAATGATTCAATTCTTTTAATATTAATATTAATTATAATTACTTAAAATGAATATATTACAAAACTTTACTTTGAAATGCAAAACTAGCTGAATTATATGGTATATACATCGTCTATGAAAACTACTTGGAAAAATTAGTTTTAGTAACTAAAAATACACATCTATAATTTCGAAAAAAATAAAATAAAATAAAATAAATGAAGGAAATAAGCTTAATAACAAGTAAATCATTAACTGAACAAGAGAAAAAAAAATTGGGGATAAATATACCTGCTATATAATATTTATTCGACTTTTTTTGTAGAACTTTATTTTAAATTTTTTTTTTTTCGTGCATCATTATAAATCACAAAGAAATTTTTTTTTCCTGATCAAGTCCATTAATTAACTAATTGTTATCATTTAAACGAATGTATAGTGTATTTAAACAGTTGTTGACGAAACCAAAACTACCTCCTCTTGTTCATCTTCAGTTTCCCATTCTTCACTCTGAGAATGATTAGGAACGGTTACACTGATAGGAGGAGATATTGGACTTGCAACTTGTGTAGCTGTTTTAGTAACAGAGTCTTGTGGTGATAACAGTAACGTTTGTATTCCCGCAACTTGTAACCAATTTGACTTACTATTAGAATTATCTTCATTATTATTATGATCATCTTTTGTAGAAGAATTACCTCTATCTTGTGTATTCACCTCCATATCCTTGCGCCGAGACCTTCGTTTTTTAGAATTCGACTTTCTCTTACTTTTATTGCTATTATTATAAAATGGTGGTATTGCCTCCACATACGTAGTATGATCAGCTGATAATTGCGATAATGGTAATTGTGGTAAATAATTCTTCGGTATACTAGGTGTTGTTAAACTTGCAGAATGAGGTGGAGATTGTATGATTATGGAATTCGTTAATTGTGATTGATCGTTCCTTACGGGTTGTGTATATGGCGTGGACGTTTGTCGTATAATTGTTGAACTTTGATCATACGTTGGCATATTATTGTTCTGCATTGAAAGAACTTGTTGTTGATTATTAATCGGTTGAGGCTCTAGTTCATCGTCATCATCATCGTCTAATATTATTATTGTGTTGGGAGCCTTTTGCGAAGAAATTGATGATTTCTTAGAAGCCGAATCAACTTGCATATCATCATCGTCGGTTGATTCACCATCGCAATCATCTTGTCCCACGACTGTCCACCTGCCACTAGAATCGAGCTCGACAGTATTAACATTTCTAATTTGATAAAAAATATATTATTATTAATCAAAATGAAAGTTCTCTTGTAAGTTTTTTAGTAAATTAGATGTAATATTACTTACTCTGGTATTTGTTCTAGTAATCTTTTGAAATATTCATCGATTCGCAAGGTTTCCGACGTTACCCGGTCACTGTTGAACAAACATTTTAATAATCAAAATAGCCGTAAATAATAAGATCATCTATTAAACGCTTACTTGCACTCGGGACATCTCCATTTGGAATTTTTCTTGTTTACACTGACATAGGTTTCCAAGTCAAAACACTAATAAATAAAAAGAATTATCAATATTTACCGTGTAATTAATGACGAATCGTAATTACTACTTACACCAATGTGGAGACAATGTTGTCCTTTCGCGGGTTCAGCTATTCTCAGTAAACTTATTGGACATCGCAAGCTAACTTTCATTTTGTTGACTGTGACATCACAATCATCCTCGTCAGTTATCATAGTATGACTCGGAGATGAAATTGAACTGGTCGGTGACTGTGCATTAATAATAGAAGCGCTTGGACCAGAAATTAGTCGTTTAACTAAGTATCAAGGAATGTTAATTTCTATGATGCTAAAATAATAAAATTATGATTTTTAGATCACTAACCAATTTCCATTCCGTGCTCTACAGTAAGTGTTTGGCTTCGTGCATTGCGAAGCACTATTTCTTCCGTTTCCTTTAATAAAATTTCTATTGACAATATATGTTCCTATAATAAAGATGAAGGGTAAATATATAATGTTATGCTAAAATAAATAAACTTGGTTATAAAAAAAAACTTACACATAATTGTTGGCGACAAGTTTCACACATACACTGTGTAATTTTAATCCTGTTCACTCCTGCTTCTAAATATTGGGCAATATCGACAGCTTTGTCAACTCCAACAAATGAATATTGGTTATTTTTAATAGGAATTCGTTGTTTCTTTTTTTTTTTTAAAAAAAAAAAATAAAAAAAAATAATAATAATAACAAATTAATACAACAGAGTTGTAATATCTAGTCGATAATATATCTATAAAAAAACATACTCTGTGCAATTTAACTTCCGAATCGTTGATTTGTACTTTAAACATAGCTTCCTCCGGGGGCCAATCACACTTGTTATCGTCATCTATATTATTTGGCTTACGCGATATTAATCGGTATGTAAGCGGTAATTTGTTTGGATGTATAAGGGTTGCCGGAGAAGCCGTTTCTAGTCTTTAAAAAATTTTAAAAGCATAGACGAAATCTTATCTAGTAAATAAAAAAATATATATATATAAACTAAAAAGCATACGTAAATTACTAACTTCCATATCCTTTCGAATTTTTCGTGGGGAATATAAAAGGAATTTATAAATTCCTGCTGTTCCTGATGTTGATTAGCTATCAGAGATTCATAAGGGAGCATAACATGGCCCCAAGCTCGATCTATTATTCTGGAAACCCAATTTCCATTTGCCTTTTCAACATCTGAAATATGTTTGTTTTCAATCCTTGGCTGGTTTATTTGTTGCTGATGATGTTGTTGCGGCGGCGGTGGCGGCTGCTGCTGTTGCTGCTGCCTCGCTACTGGTCGGACCAACGATGGATTTATATTATTTGCCGGGAATTGTTGAGAAGTAACGCTAGAAGATTTGTTGAGTTCATTGGCCCATTTTTTAATATGATCTAAAAAAATATATATATATATGTATATAAACCATTTATCACTTATAAAACTACACACAATAAAATTAATAAAGTATATAAGAAAGATCCAAACTTTGATGCTGTGTATTTGAGAAACGATGGATATTATTTAAAGCAGCCTGGAATACGGATAATCCTATTTCCATAGGTGTAGACCCGAAATTGCTTTTTATGTTCTAATAATGTTAAATCGAAAAATAAGTAAATGTGTCAAATGTGGTCGTTTATATTATAATATGCAAACCTGTAAGCACTGATAAAAACTCTCTTGGCATTGTGGAGAAGAATATGCAATGTCAGTTTGCAAATACTTAAGAAGTTCAGCACAAAGAGTCTGATAATCTTTTTTTGTTATTTCAGACTTGATAGTATCTAATCTTTGTAAGATATAATCTTGTGATAACATAGGCGTAGGCGTAGGCAAAGGAGTATGCGTAGGTGTAGGTGTAGGTGTAGATAAGTCGCCAAGATATAATTCCGCTTGTTGCATAGATGGATAAAAAACATTGCCAATTTGTGGGGATCGATACAAATCCATATTCAAGTTAATTTGCTGCATTTGCCCTTGATTATTTCCATGCAGCAATTGTTGTGATAATTGTTGTTGTTGATGTTGCTGCTGTTGATTACTTAACTGAATCTGATTCATCTGACTTGTAAATCCAATTGGTGGTGATACCATTTGACTCTGAACTGGATTTATAGAATTAAAAAAAAAAAAACAAGGTAAAATTTCACAACACATTGCGAATAAGTGAATAAATCATCTATCTCTTTTAATCTTTACCGTGTTGATTATTTTGGCTCGACATAATTTGGTCAGGATTTTGTAATACAACCTGTGTATTCTTATCAAGATGATTAAAAGGGAAATTGGATTAGACTGTCACAAATATTATATATTTTTTTAAGCAGAAAGCTTATTAAAATACATACAATGTTATCAGGATATCCCATTACACGCGAAGAGCGAGAGTTAGCATTAGTGTTACGTGATGATGACATCGACATCGGTTGTCGCATTTGGAAGGATTGTGGATATGGCACATAGACAGGTTGAGATTGAGGTTGAGGTTGAACATAATATTGTGCTTGTGATTGCATGAATGGATCTGGTTGGTGAGGAGGCATTACAAATGCCGCACTGCTCTTTCGCCTTTTTGTTGGTTGACAACCTTGTTGTTCCGAGGTAAAATCGACCGGTATCGTCCTAGTAGGATTGGATCTCGAAGGTAAGATATTATTATTGATATTGACCTGATTCGATGATCCATGCTCATGTACTATATGTTCAGGAGGTGTAACGAAGCTATTACTGTTCATATTCATATTGTTCATATTAAAATTGATTTTATGGATGTATGTACACGATGATTCTTTTTTTTGTAATGAATAGGTTTTGATCAGTTAATCCGGATTGCAAAGTGAAAAAAGTTGGATGAACAAGAAAATCAAGAAAATCGAGAAAATCGAAGATAACGATATATATAAGGGGGAAATAAAAGTGATGAAAGTTGATTAGCGATGATTTGCTTATTAATCAAAATCGATGACGTTTCATACTTCACTACGCATCAGTTGTGTGATGTAAAAGTAATCACGTTCACGTGATATAAATGATAATCGTAGCCGAAGCATCACGTTGATTATCAGATTATCACTGCACCAATGATCGACAACATCGGAATTACATACTTATTTAATTCTAGATGATATATATTTACAAAGCCTTTTTCCCTTAAGCGGCACACTAAAATTGTAAAAAGAAAAAAAATTACACGATATAAATTACTTTTCTTTCGATTAGAACTGTAGAAAAAATCTTTTTTGTTGATCGGGTTGATGAACCAACAACCAACGATTTTGTGGCGCAGAAACGACTGAAATCTGGTTTAATTACCGGCTTTTTTTTTACCAAAAAAAAAAAAACGCTTACATTTATCGTTCTTTTTTTTGTGATACGCGGCTAAATTTTTATTCGTCTGAAAAAAAAAAAAAGAAAAAGAAAATCCAATATAAAGCCGTTTTCTCGTCCTTTTTATACTTTAGACCCATTTATTGAAAAAAAAGTCATTACATACTATTGTTATTTTTTTTAAGAAAACGTTGAAAATAAAATGTGGACAATTACAAAAATGTCAAACAATTGTCTTACAAACCCCCAACAAAATGCATAACAAATAACATCAAGCCAAGAATGAAAATGATTTTATCCCAAAATGGAGAACATCATATGAAATATGTCGCACGAAATCCATGTAATATACATTCGTATGTAACACTAATGTCGCACGATTCTCAGCCCGAGGTCACAAGGTCAGAAAACGCCCAAATTTAGTAATTTATTTTACCCCTATGCAAATCAGAAAATTTGCAGCCAACGCTAACCTGTTTGTGACACTTATGTAACCGTGACACATCATTCTGTGGAACGGTAGCACACCTGTGCAACGATCTACCGAATTTAATCTTACCAAATTTGTTTAGAATCTGGATGTTTCATCAAACTTTAATAAAACGCGGGAACATTTGAATAAAATACCCAAAAAAATAAAAAAATAATTTGACTTGACAAACATGCCTTCGAGATCTATGTAAAAAATCATTATAATGAATGTTCAACCATTTTATATGACAAAAGTCGATTTTGGATTTTTCTTTAATTGCTATTCTATTTACATTTGAGTTAACAACAAAATTGAGATCTTGAAACAGAGATACGCCAAAAAGAATTTATTTTAAAACTTACATAATCCACATTTTTTATGATGAGACTTTGCTTAATACGCACTAGTATATATCTTTTTTTTTTTGCGCCTTCTGAGTCATATGGTTTAATAATAATAAATTTATCTTGATAAATACTCGTTTCGGTTATTTGAATTTTCAATATATAGAAAATGAGTTTTCTTTTCATTTAAAGAATATAAAAGTCATTTTTTTGTTGCTCCTGAAAATTCTTAATTTTAGGTTGTTGATCTATTACTTTATCAAAAGTTTTAATGTTAGACAGCTAATCTTTTTAATGATCGAGGTAATTTTTAATTTTTTTTTCGCACCGCCCGCAGTAATGACAAATTGAGAGATGATTCTCAATATATGTATTAAATTAAAAACTGTTAGATTATACAAATGTGCAAAGTAACTCGCATTTTTAATTTTGTGATAAAGTTGAAAAATCCAATTAGAAAATTGATGTACCAAAAAAATAGTTAAATGAAAATATGATACAAATCAAGTTTAAAAACCGGTTTTATTATGCAATCCGACTGGAGAGTAATTAGCACGAGATATTTATATTTGACTCGCAATTTAAGTTTATTTATTTATATATTTATAGATTGATAATTTTGTGCGACAATAAAATTACCGGTTAATCGGTTAATCTTTGCCACCTGAACTTTAAATTTGTATCAAAATTTTTTGAATTTTTAATTTCAGATCTAATTAATATATTTTATTTTTTATTTTTGTAAAATTTATTTTTAATTTTGATTTATAATTTTGATTATTTGAATTTATTTTTATATACTATTTATTATATTATATAATTTTGTTAAAATGATTAATTTTAACTAAGATTATTTAAAAAATAGTAAATATTCTTTTAATTTACTATTATTTAATATCATAAAATAAAATAGCATAAGATAATATAATTAAGATATTATATAAGTATTATTATTCAATTAATAGTTTATAAAATAAAATATTTTAATTAATCAAATATTAATAAGATTTAATTATAATACTTTTAATTTATAAATGTTTTAATTTAAGTTAATCTTTTATTATAAAAATCTTTTAATATATTAAATAATATTTTAGGTAAAATTGTTTTATTATTTATCTTTTTTTTTATTTCAGTTTAATTATTTTAAAACTATTTAAATTTTCAAATTAATAAAATTTGTATAATTTAATAAAATCTTTTAAAATTAATATAATCTAATAAAACTTCTAAATATATATATATTTAAATAAAATAAAATAAAAATAAAATTGTTCATTTTATAGAGCTTATTATATTAAATCAATCTAAAAAAATATAATAAAATATAAAATTAATAAAAATTTGATATCATCACAAATCACAAAAAATTTTATTATACATAAAATTTATCATTAATTCTAATAATAAAGTAAATAATGTAGTTTTAATAAATTTAATATAATATAAATTTTATAAAATTCAAAAAATAAATTATTATAATTTGTTTGTTTTTATTCTTCTCTTTTTTTTTTTATTTTTCTTTAATAGATTTTTTTTACTTTATGCTACAAGTTCTGGTAATTCTTCTTGTATTATTATAGAAGAATCTATATAAATTTAATGGATTCATTTATTATAAACAATTTCTAAAATATTAGTTTAAATTATAATTATTAAATTTTAGCTTGATAAATTGAGTTTTTAATTAATAAAAATAAATGTTTAAATTATTAAAATCATTATTTTAGAGATTTTTCATATACTTCAAATTAGAATATTCTAGATTAAAATTATATTATATATAACTGCTATTTATATATAAATGATTTCTTATTTTTATAAATGTGTTTCTAATAATATTTTTTATTATATTTTTATTATTATTGTACAATTTATTATAACATTCTCTAACTTTTACTTGATTTCTTTTATTTAACAATACTAATTACATTTTTTTACTATTTATTATTTATAATCAAAATTCTTTAAAATTATATTTTGTATTATAGCAATATGTATCCTTTTCATATTCTTCATTTTTTTAAGAATTATGATAAAAATAAAAATAAAATATTTAAATAACTAAAAAAAATAAATTAAATTTTAACAATTAACAATAATTATCATATTATAATATTTATTAAAAAATTAATTAATCTATTTTTTTTCGTTTATTTCACTTATATAGCTAAATAATTTTATTTTAAACTAAAATTTAAAAATATTTTTAAATTCATTAAAATATTCTTGAAAAATATCCTATTATAATAGGACCATCATAATTTAATTGATCTACATAATGCATTGTAAATAGTTATATAAGTAACACAGTTAATATGATCGACTTAATAAATGTATTTAATTTATATAACACAAAAAAGTGCAGATCAAATTGTCAAACATGTCAAACATATTGGGTATATCTAATATGTTTGACATATATAATATATTTTAACATATAATATATTTGTATATCAAACATATATGATATATTAGATTTACATTAAAAGTATATAAAGAGGATTAAATTTTTAATAAGAAAGTAACTATCAAGTACTAAATGCAATCTGATCAGTTCAGCAATGATTATGTGTAACCTCTTTTTTATAAAGATAGTGCAAAATTACTCTTTTTACTTGTGATTAATTCTTCTTTTTATATTTTCTTATTTAGTATTTTATCTTTTAGTTTATTTATTTACTAATAATTTTTATTTAATTTACTTGAAACATTTTGTGATATTTTGTATTAATAACATAATTCACATTTATTTTAATTTAACATATAAAAATATACTCGATAATGTATTAAATATATTTAGCAGTATATAGTGAATAAATTATACATTTAACGTAGGTTTGAATATATTTTCTAATATATAACAGAACCTAATCAACTGAGGTGTAAATATACTTTACAATATATAAAAGAACCTAATAAACTAAGAACCTAATTAATTGAGGTATGAATATATTCTACAGTATATAAAAGAACTATTAACTTATTGAGACAACTATTAGATTAATATATAAACTTTAAAAGAATCATCATTTAAATACTCTGTCTAATAGTTATGTTAAATAGAGAACCCTCTGGATCAAAGGCAATGGATACTGAAGAAGTCAATGAAGGAGATGAGTATTTTGCATTATAAGAGACATATAACTCATCTAAAAAGGATGAACAAAAGTCAATGGCTTTATACTATCAAGCACATATCAAAAATAAAAAGATATCTTTAATCGTCAATTTAAGATCCTCAAGATATATTATATCCTATGCATTACTTAAGAAACTAGGCATGTAAATATAAAAGAAGTCAAAAACAATAATGATTAATATGAATAGTGAAAGAAGAAAGCCTATGGAAATGGTCACAAATATTTCCTTAAGAATAATAGGAAAGATAATTTCCTTTGATGCAATCGTAACTGAAAAAATTCCTATGACGTAATTGTAAGAAATAATTAGCTAAAGAAAACAGATGTAAAAATAAGCTACAAAAATAAAATTATGTCATTGTATTGGGGAGAACACACAATTAATATCCCTATTGAATTTTACTAATCATCTTTAATTAGAACTAAATAAGTTGATAATGATAAAAGTGAGAAAG